CAACCAATTTCGTTTTCAGGGTATGGGGAGCTAGGAGTAATAAAAAAGTCGATTGATCTCCGATGGATGAAATGGAATTTCTCGAACTGAACAAAGTTAAAAGTGATATGAACATGGAGTATCAACCTGTCTTTAGGAGTGACCTCGTGGTCTGAAGACTCATCCAAGAGCTCACTGATTCTTCAAATAATTCAGTTTATTTGCATGGTTCGGCCAATATTCTTTAAGCTGTAACAGTTCTTTGACCCAATCCTACAAAAATCACCTTGATTATGCTCTGATAGGGACGTTAAAAAGGTTATAAGGCTTTATCTTCACTCTCGCTAGCCACTCTTTATTCGATTTAACCCTAAGTTTCGTAATTAGGGAGTTTCCGGGCAAAAATTTCAGTTGTGTTATTATGGCTCTCCTGAGTGTAGTTCGTATCATCTGGATTGACAAGCGTAAAAAAGACGTCTCCGTGTCGGGTGACTGCTGAGAATAAGGCTCATAAATTACTGCCACAAAGGCAAAGGGAAACGCGAAAATTATTCTGAGTCCCTGATTTAATTTTTTTAACTTTTTAGGAACGAAATTTCCTATAACTTGAACCGTGGGGGGAATGGCGGTCCGGTGGTTCTTTAAGCGGTATAACGAGCATTACAGAAATCAGAAAAAAAAAGAAATTAAAACAGTATATTACCAAGAAAATCCAAAAAACAAAAGGAAAAACCGAAAAAAAAACATCACCGTACAAAAAAATTAGTAGATAATACCTCCTGAGACAAGATGTGATCAAATTTTCCTCCTTTGTTGTTGTTTGATACATTTCACAACCTGATTCTAACGAACAAATGAAGTGTTTTCTTGTACCTGTGATATAGGATTGTTTGAGTTTTTAAGGCTGGTTAATGCGAATGTTGAACCAATCCAGAAGCGTCAAATGATTTCAGAAAAAAAAAACCTATCCAGGCAGCAACAAGGAGGAAAAAGAAGGGTAACAGCGATAAAAACAACCGACTGTGAGATTGTTGCTAGCCGCTAAAAATGGTGATTCAGTTTGGGTGCAGAAATCACAATATTAGTCAGTGGAGCACTGTACTGAATGACAACTCACTGAATTACGAGTTTCCGAGTTCAACATCCTAACTCTTCTACTGAAAACACCCGGTTGTGTATAATAATTTTACTTCTACTTTTTACGTTTACTAGTATTCTTATTCAGTTTTTCGACAAAACCAACCGTTTACATAATGATTTTTGGTCAACAACTTGACATGTTGACCCCCCTCTCCAAACGTAAGTTTTTAGATATGTTTTATCGTATAACCGTATAAATTTTTTTTTGATCTGTCAACGTTTTGCGGTAAATTGTAGGAATTTGACATTCGCTCCACGGCAAGCTACAAGATCCTGGAAAAATTTGACTTGATTTTTCTAATTTAGTGGCTTCGGAAGGTTCCAACTTCGGAAGGTTCCAACTTGCATTGTTTTCTGCGAAAGTTTTTGGCTGCCACGTTTCTCATCGTGTTTTGTTGCGCTAAACTAGTAAAGTGTATGACTTCTGAGATCCGTTCAATATATAATAAACCTAGAGAACGAAGTCTGGGAAAGAATTGTTGACTGAATTTGTGAACTGTAGGACTTCTGAGCTCTAATCAATAGTTACTAGGCCCAGATGACGAGAACTGGAAAATAAAATCGAGTAAAAACGAAAAAGTCTCAATCTGTAACTGAAGAACATGGGTCAGATCAAGTTCATTTTAGTAGCATTAGATCGATAAGTTGATAAATTTACTCTTGAAATAATTTTGTTTTAAAGTAAAAAAGCAATAATAAAGTTTTTGATAAGTTTTCAGAAAACAGGACCGGTTTGGAGGTAGACTCTTCTTCCTGATCCAGTGAAACTTTTTGAAAAGCTTTTAGACACCAACTAAAGCAGTTTTAAGCTGATTTTGAACGACCAAGAAGCCTAAGAGAACCTGGAACTAGGCACTGAATTCATAAAAAACTTGCTACTGGAGCCCTCCCAGTTAGTGAATTAGCACTGTATTTTGGATCCGGAAGAGTACAGTTCCAACAGGAACGGTCATCCCTGTTTGCTTAACTGATTTTTAAGAACTATAAGACCGCAACCAGATGGCTCCCCAGAAAGACGGAGATCTCTCATTTCCACTTATCTGTGAGCATCCCAGTTTCACCAACCCGAATGGGTCTCAAATTATCCAATCCGGATGAGTGTCAATTGCACAAATCCGGAAATGTCTCACACTCACAGATCCGGAAGCGTCCCAGTTTCACCTATACGGACGGGCCTCAATCCGGAGGCGTCTCAATTTCACCGATCCGTATGTGAACCAATTTTGCCAATCCGGAAGTATATCAACCTGGAAGGGTCCCGAAAACGCTTATCCGGAATTGT